CGGACATCATAATGAATATAGAATCGCGCGCGTTATCAGCTTCCAGTCACTGTAGGTGCGCAAAAGATGCAAAAGCACTTCTGCCCTTCGGTCCCTTTCGGCGAGTGTTGCCAAGTATGCTCTACGAGCGTGAGTGATTACCTATGGCTTCAACGACATTTTTGTTGGGATGCAGTTTTGCATTCCCAAGGTGTCTCAAACGCGTGCAAAAGTACAGCCAATACTCAGTCAACACTCAGCCAACACTACAGTCATCACTACAGTCAACGCTACCGAAAACCTGGGAAAGCAGCAGATTCCACTGTCATTTGGCATGCATTTGGTGCGTTCACAGGAAATACAGTGTCTTTAAGCTTCTTAACGTCAAGAACTGCTTTTGGCAGCGTTGACTGTAGCGTCGATTGTAGATGGAATGAATTGCTGTGTCGTGTGTCCCGAACCCAGGCACCCTAGAAATGGGTGCACACGCGTTCTCAGCTTCCAGTTACTGTAGGTACGCCCAAGATGCAAAAGCACTTTTGCCCTTCGGTCCCTTTCGGCGAGTGTTGCCAGGTATGCTCTGCGAGCGTGAGTGATTAGCTATGGCTTCAACGACTTTCACTTTACAGTCAACATTCAGTCAACACTCAGTCAGCACTCAACACTACAGTCAACGGTACGAAAACCCTGGGAAACCAGCAGTTTCCACAATTCACTCGTTTGAAAGGAAAAAATGCGTTTTTTAGCTTCTTAATGTCCAGAACGGCAAAATGCTAGATATTCCAGCATTTTGGCAGTGTTGACTGTAGTGTTGACTGCAATGTTGACTGAGTGTTGACTGTCATTTTGCATGCGTTTGCTGCATTCGCAGGAAATACAGTGTCTTTAAGCTTCTTAATGTCAAGAACAGCTTTTGGCAGCGTTGACTGTAGCGTCGATTGTAGATGGAATGAATGGCTGTGTCGTGTGTCCCGAGTCCAAGCCCCCTAGAAATGGGTGGGCACGCGTTCTCAGCTTCCAGTTACTGTAGGTGCGCGAAAGATGCAAAAGCACTTTTGCCCTTCGGTGGATGGACGCAATCTTACACCACCAGTACATGCGTACTTGAAACGATTGAGGCATCAAACCCCCTGCTTAACATTGGCGGCTAGGACTATTTGAACAGTGCAAGCTTTCGGCCAGTGGAGCAAATCCGGCCGGTAGCTTTTCACAGCAAAATGCAGGATTTTCCAGCATTTTGGCAGTGTTGGCTGTAGTGTTGACAGCAGTGTTGAGTGAGTGTTGACTGAGTGTTGACTGTCATTTTGCATGCATTTGCTGCATTCACAGGAAACACTGTGTCTTTAAGCTTCTTAATGTAAAGAACAGCTTTTGGCAGCGTTGACTGTAGCGTCGATTGTAGATGGAATGAATGGCTGTGTCGTGTGTCCCGAGTCCAGGCCCTAGAAATGGGTGGGCACGCATTCTCAGCTTCCAGTTACTGTAGGTGCGCAAAAGATGCAAAAGCACTTTTGCCCTTCGGTGGATGGGTGCAATCTTGCACCACCAGTACATGCGTACTTGAAACGATTGAGGCACCAAACCCCCTGCTTAACATTGGCGGCTAGGACTATGTGAGCGGCGCAAGATTTCGGCCAGTGGAGCAAATCCGGCCGGTAGCTTTTCACAGCCAATGTTAAAATGGGTGCACGGGGAACGCAAAAAGACGTTTCTGAAAAGCGGCGCAAGACTTTGTCCATCCACACTGTGGATGGACAAAATCTTGCGCCGCTTTTCAGAAACGTCTTTTTGTGTTCCCCGTGCACCCATTTTAAACATTGGCTGTGAAAAGCTACCGGCCGGATTTGCTCCACTGGCCGAAATCTTGCACCGCTCAAATAGTCCCAGCCGCCAATGTTATGCAGGGGGTGCGGGGTTTGACGCCTCAATCGTTTCAAGTTTCAAGTACGCATGTACTGGTGGTGCAAGATTGCATCCATCCACCGAAGGGCAGAAGTGCTTTTGCATCTTTTGCGATCTTTTGCGCACCTACAGTAACTGGAAGCTGAGAACGCGCGCCCACCCATTTCTAGGGCGCCTGGACTCGGGACACACAACACAGCCATTCATTCCATTTACAATCGACGCTACAGTCAACGCTGCCAAAAGCTGTTCTTGACATTAAGAAACTTAACGACACTGTATTTCTTGTGAATGCAGCAAACGCATGCAAAATGACAGTCAACACTCAGTCAACACTCCGTCAGTCAACACTCAGTCAACACTCAGTCAACACTCAGTCAACACTACAATCAACACTGCAGTCAACACTGCCAAAATGCTGAAAAATTCCAGCATTTTGCCGTTCTGGACAGTAAGGACCCAGATTCCAGGGGTCTCTATGACAAAGGCCTCCAGAGAGATGAAGTAAATAGGGGCAGCGTTACAGGCACATCTCGAACCTCAAAAATTCTTCGCGCAATTTCCAGAAAAAGCGCGCAAAGTTTGCGAGCAACCCACAAGTTTGCATCGACAAGTCCAAAAACTGCAAAATTGCAAACTTTGCGTCTGGACTTAATTTCCTTTCAGAATCAGAGTTCTCTAGGTCTTGCACGCCCGCAAACTTTACAGAAACAGTGCAGACTGCAAACTTCTCACTTTGCACAAAGTTTGCAGGAAAAATGTCGGTTTTCCAGCCAAGAATCCGAAACTGAGAAAAAAAGGTCCTTGGTTTCAATCCTCTGTTCGAACTCCAGGTTTGAACCCGGAGTTTGAGTTCGGAACTGTGTATTCGCAGAAGCAACTTGAAAGTTTCTACTTGAGCAGGTTCAAGAGTTCGAACTCTGTTTGTCAACTTTAGGTTCAACTCTGTGTTCGAACTCCAGGTTAACCCCGGAGTTCGAAAGTTTGACCCAGAGTTCAGAACTTCGCAAACTCTGGATTCAAACTCCATGTTCAAACCCTAGTTGAACCCCAGGTTCGAGAGTTCGAACTCTGGGCCCAAAAGTTCGAACTCCAGGCCCAAAAGTTCGAACCTAGGTTTAACCAGGTTCAAAGAGTTCAAGCCGGAGTTGAACCTGGGGTTCAACTTAAAGTCGAACCCAGGGTTCGGAGAACATAGAGTTCCGAACCCTGGGTTCGAACTCTGAGTTCGGGGGTACGAAGCTGGAACACTTCAAATTGATGCAAGATGTTGGATCGTCCATCTCCTGACAAGACATTTTTTTCGTCCAAGGTGCGGGGTGCCTTTCAAAACACAAATTAGAAGTGAAAGATGGGTTTGTTCGCGCGAACACAAATTGCCTCAAAAGACTGGTTTGTGGCGCGGAGCGCCTTTCACAGAAAATTGGCTGTGGGGGAGTTCTTCGGCCATCTCGGCAGCACAGTGTGGCAAAACAGCTCAACCCGGACCAGAAATTAAAAAAAAAAAAAAAAAAAAAAAAAAAAAAACAAACAAACCCCCAGCCCCCAACTGCCCAAACCATGAATATGCCCAAAACTTTGAGCCCGAGAACCCCGAACTCCCTCAAACACGCTGAAACCTTAAAACCTAGACCGCCTAACTCTTATAAACCGTACCTAAACCCTAAACCCTAATTAAACCCTCGATCTCAACCCTAAACCCTCCTAAACCCTAAGCCCTCAAAGGAACCCTTCCCCAAAGACCTTACAAAGACAATTCCCAGCAGACCTTAACTTGTCAGGGATGCAAAGAAGGACCAGGGTAGTCCAAGTAGTAAGTCTAGTCCACAGAGAAGTAGAATTATAATATGAACCAGGCAGAGTGTGGGGTGTACGGTGCTGGGCTGAGGGAATTGGCTAGGAAGACCAGGTACAACAACATAAGAATCCAAGCATACCTCCCTGCACACCCTCCTCGTGTGTGTGGCTTTCTCTTTCCGGGCTTGTCGATTCAAGAAGCTGGGTACTACAAGGCCGCGAACGCTGCTCTCAGCACGAATTATCTTTCTGAGCCCTGCAGAAGCATCGACAGGAGAAGTGGCGAAAATCGAAACTGCTGCCCATAAAGCAAGCCAAGTACTGAAACACCAGCAACAGCACCTGGTTGTCAGGAAGGAAGAAAAACTGCCTTGATTTATGGGCTCCCGTTTTAATTACCCTAAACGCTAAGCTTAAACCCTGAATCCTGAAGTCCTGAAACTTAAACCCTGAATCCGATCTTACTATACTCAACAACATAAGAGAGATCCCTGAAACTGACCCAGGCGCGATGGCACCAAACCCGGCCAACCATGGTAAGGATGGCGGTTTTGTCAGGGTGATCATCAGAAGGGCGTTCGCAAGACCCATCCTGGATTCTTGTTAAGGGGTTTAGTTTTAGTTACCATAATAAGGAAACCATTATGGTAATTCTCAAATTAAACTCCTTGATAAGAGCCCAGCATCAGGAGAAACAGGTACATGTAGAGACCCAGCCCACAGAGCCAAACCATGACGCAAGAGCCCGCTTTGAGTGGGTGAATCCCGGTCTCGGTCGTCAACATGGCCCCCAGAACCCTCAACAATAGGGGGAACATGCTTTGAAAGCCGGGCCATATGATTATGGAAAGGCTGAAGCCGTCATAAGTCCACATTTGCAATGGAGACTGGAAGCCTTGCGCCTTTGGAGCAATGTCGCAGGGCAGCCCATCACAAGCCAAGAAGGTCGTCGCAATCGAAAAGAGAAACGTGGGAAGCGTGGCGAGCATGCACATCTTTATCGGGAGGTGTGTCACCTCTCCCAGATCCCGCCTCAGCTCGCTGAAGAGTTGGTCTCGCACCTGGTCATTGAAGATCTCCAGGCTGAATCATAGGGGCCTTAATCATTACCTATGCTATATTATAGGGTTTCATTAAGGGCGTATATAAGGGCTACCATAAGGGTCCTGGTCATTGAAGATCTCCAGGCACTCCTCAAACTGTGGATAACTTGTGACCCTCCGGACTGCGTCGTCTCGGAGGACTGCTGCCTCTGCAGGCAGCAGAAGAGCTGCGGGGTCAGCCTCAGGGGAAGACTCATCTGCGCTGAAAACGACGCTGATCGGGGCGTCGTCGATCCCATCATAGACCCGGGCAACGATGGCCTCCAGCAACGTGCGATCCTGCTCAAAGCTGCACTTGGCAGAACGAATGTCAAAAGCCCGCAACTGCTCGAGCATGGCTTGGTGCTGCTGGATCTTTGCGACAAAGGATACCTGTAAGCCCACTTTGACCCAAAATGAAACATGTTAAATTACCCTCCCTCGGGCTTGTATTGAAGTGAAACAATGCAAGTCCTGGTTCCTAAGGAACACCCAGATGCAAGTGCTGGAAGAAGTGCCGGTAGGTATGCAACTAGAAGGAGACTCCACAGCTGCACGTACGCTGCAAGAATGCCACAGCGGGAGACGGACCCCTGATTTCCCTCTTGTTCGCCGCTCCATAGAAAAAAGACCAGAGGCAACGTGAGCCGTGTGCAGAACCAATCCAGGAACATCGTACAAAGAAGCCAGGGCGCCAGCCAGACGGGTACAACGTGTAGCTTGGAGAGGTCACCCTTCTTCAGGTATAAAGACATCTCCATGCAACGCCACAAGCGATCGCAGTAGGTGTTGTCCCATAGGATGAGCATCTCCGATGAGCACTTCACAAAGGCAGGAAGCATTGAAATTGCCTCTTGTTTCAAAGCCTCGTTCGTTTGGGGGATACACAACGAGTCGATCCACATAGTTGGGGAGGCGCACCCACACACATGCGCAAAGAAGAAGCTGAGAAAGAATACCAGCAGTGGCAAGTCAACCGCCAAGAGGAAAAGGTAGGGGCTGCTCACGAGGTTGTTCACATCGCCAGTTGCTGCAAGGCACAAAGCTCCAGCAGCTGCTGCAACCAAAGCGGATTTCGCTGCCACGCCTCCGTTGAGATGAAAGCACACCGCTAAGGTCTTGCCCCAGCGCCCAGCACTCCATGAGTGGCTGATGAACACATCCACCTGGCAAGTTTAGAGTATAGTCGGTGTCATTTTTACGTTTCGTGTTGGTCCTTTCTAGTTTTCATTAGCTTATTGCAAACGTTTATCATTACTCGTACTAATATGACGATTACTTATGCCATTACGAGTACTAGTACTTTTTACCATTGCCGTACCTCTACCACGACCATTATATAGGTTTACTTGTATTCTTCTCATTATTGCGAGAAGTGGCATGTCTATTTGAGTTTTCTTCTTGTGAATAGTACCCATATTGTCGATAATATTGGTCTTGCTCACAATCTTAAGTCATAATCATAAGGCCCCCAAGCCAGACTGAGACAGCGCAGTACAAAAGATGTCACACAAATCAAGGAGTATCAAGGAATAAGTAAGACGACTATGAAGCTGAATGTAATGGAAACAATTTCTGAATAATGGAACGGAAGGCATGCATGCATGCATACATACATGTACGTACCCAGAACCCCCTAAACCCAAAACCCAAAACCCAAAACCTCAAGCAGTAAAGCCTGAGGACCTAAGGTTGAGTTTGAAACTAGCATGCCTAGAGACACCCAGAGCGGCTCATGCCTGCCTGGTCAACACTCTTCGTGAAATCATAAGCATCGCCATCACCTGGGAGCTTCAGAAAATGGTTTGGGAAATAGGGTTCAGGGCCTAGGGCTGAGGGCTAAAGCTCAATCCGAAACAAAAATCTCCCAAGACGTTCGAGAGCCCAGCAGCCCAAACTGTCTCTGCAAAACACGCGGCCCATTCCCGCCAGAACCTGCCCGCTGAGAATGCCAATGGTTTGCAGAGGCTTTGTAAGGTTCTGTATAACGGTATGCATTTTCAGTGCTGCTCACAGACATCTGATGGGTTGACTGAGCTTTCATTGGGCTTCACACGCTATGTTAACAGTTCAAGGCCTTATCGAGGCTTATGAAGAGCTTCAAACTTTCCGTGCACCTGAACCCGGCTTGGGGGGTTTGGGGCTTATGGCTTCGGGTTCAAGGGTTTAAGGGTTTAGGATCTAGTATGGGATTTAGGGTGAGGGCATGGTATCGAGTATGGTCGGAATATTTTGAAGGCTCGGTTAGGAACCCAAGAGGATTTGGACAAGGGGGCCCAGCACCTGAGTTGCAGCAGTAGTCTTACGAGTTGCGGGATTTGACTGCTTAGCCTCCCTGCAACTACCAGTTTCATGAGACCCTCCTGGTCTGATAGAACTCTTAATAAAACCCTTCCAGGAATCCTTATGGGAACCCCGTACATAAACCCTGCTGCTCTTGAGACGTAGCCGTGCCTGTGCTGGAGATGCTGCTCGAAACATGCCCGGAGCCGGCGGCTTCAGCCTAGCTCCTGCTACCCAGACCGCCCAAGACCACCTAATCAAGGCATCAATCCCTACAGTTTAAGGTTTAGGGCATAAGGCCTAAACCCTAAATCCTAAGGTGCTTTGATAATCTGATGTAGGGCATATTCCACAAGGCTTATCGGGCTGCCTGGGTGAACCTCATGTGGGCTATAGCTAGGTAGAGGATTTTTAGCCCGGGCTTATGGGGCGTTGATCGGGGTTTGTAGGGCTCTGAATACAGGTTTGTTTGATTCGTACAGGGGTTTTGAGAGAGATTCATAGGCGTTCCACAAGGGCTCTAGACAGGTTCGAAATGCTTCGGGGTTGGGATTCACGGTTTGGAGTGTATGGTCTCAAGCTTTAACCCGGCGGTTGATGATATAAATCCTGCATTACCCATAGTCATGGATGTACCGTAAATCCCAAAGTTTAGGGTCCTTAAGGTAGGGTCTTGGGGCACGTCCGGGTCCGTCCTGCCATCGCATTGACCAAGGGTGGACACCAGCTCCGCGAGAAGTTGGGGAGCTGTCCGTCTCTATTCGTGAGCTGCGCAGTTTCGGTCTGGAACCAACGGCTTCGGGGCTGGTCTAAACTATGCGCTAAAGAACATACTGCCATGAGACACCAGCAGGAAGCTAACCGTCCAACAGCTTGGCCACACACTGGCGACTTGCTCAATACTAAATCGCAATCACAATCATAATAACAGAAGGAAGAAGAATCATAATAATTACAAAAGCACTACTACTACTACTACTACTACTACTACTACTGCTACTACTACTAAATCAATGATGTACTAAAAATAATAAAAGCACATAAGAATAAGAAAAACTGATAATAACAAAACATGAAGATAACGACAATAGGAATAACAAAGATAAAAACACGACTAACAATAATAGTAATCGTAATACACAAGTAAAACAATAACAATAGTACTACCAATAACAATCAGAATGCCACGAGAACCCTAAACCTGTGCCCCAAACCCCTGAGCTAACAAACGCTGAAATCTATACTTTCTGTACTTCGACTTCCACAACTAAACCCGAAAGCCCTAAACGCCCTCCCTAGACCGCTCCTACACCCCAGCGCCGAACAGTCCACCATTCTGAGTTCAGCGCGTCCCCGGGTTCAAAAGGTGGCAGGCAGTTCCCGGGGTTTAAGTCTCCCACGATAGTCCTGGAGGGTGTTCAAGAGCTTTGGGGTTTAGGATGGCCCTCACCATACCATATTTATGGTACCGTTGCACTACCGTTGCACATGTGTGGCATGCAGCTAGCCATCGTTTAGGCTTGGGGGGTTGGGTTTAGAGCTGAGTGGATTTGCAGTGTTACTCCGAACGGCGGCTGCCTATGAAACAAAGAGGGCCGACTGCTCCGTTTTTTGAGGAATATCCATTATCAGGGACCTACTGAGCTCGAGTTCAACTTCAAAGGCGCCTCACGCAGCTCTAACTTCAAAGCCATGTTGGGCAAAGCAGCTTTTGACTTTGCAGGTGGCGAGTTCTTTCGAAAACAGTCGTTGCCCATATGGCCCCGGAGAAAGCAGGAAGGTCGCAGAAGGACTGGTGACTAGTTGGATGCATGTCGACGGGAATCGCAGCAACATTCAGTCTCGATCGATATTAGAATGTTATGGTCATATTTGCGATGCCTGGTGATTCGAAAGATTCCACAGCTGGCTTCCAGCTTCCTTGTGGAACTAAGCCGCTCTTCTCGTTGTTGTGTTGGTTGTTGTTGGAGCTTATCCTTGATCGTCTCCATCAGGTAAACGAGTGCGTCCAATCTGCTCTCCACTTCTATGATGCGACTTGTTTGTGCTGCTTGCTCCCTCTGGATCTCTGTGATCTTTTGGTGGATTTGGCGTATGGAGCTTGTGTGTCTCTGTGTGGCTTTGGAGGATCGCATTGGTGCAGGTGTGCTTGTAGATGTAACTGACGCTTCTTTTTTCCTGAGTGGCAGGTGGGGACCTTATTGGGGTCCTTCTTACAAGCGAACCCTACTATTTGGGGATCTACATTCAGGGTCCCTTATTGTCGTAAACCCCAATTCAGGCCTGGACCAGGGGTTCATGTTTAGGGTTTAGGGTTTAGGGTCTAGGGTTTAGGGTAGAGGGTTTAGGGGGGTCACCCGGGAGTGGAGAGTGGTGGCGCCATATACATGAAATCTTCTGCCACAATGCCTGGCGAAATCAACGTATTGATTGATTTCGACAGGCATTGCAGGCTTGTGCTTTCGACATCCTTGTTGGGGCTTGTGAAATCGTGGAAGAGGAATTTCACTTGGAATACCCAGATGTTCCAGTCGCAAATCCCAGACGCAACAAAACATAAAAACTATCCAAACGCAATAGGCTTGCAAACTACTTAATTTGGATTTCCAATCTGTGGCCTGCTAGTGATATTTTGCATATCGGCAAGCTAGCCAACCCTTGGTCATTGAGCCGCTCGCCACTTACTCCCCGCACATTTCGGGTTTAGAGCATGCCCCTCCCACACCTTTGAGGTTAAAATGGTGTGTTTGCCAGCCGCCACTCCTTCTAGGTGAAGGCTTGCAGCGCTAAACAAACACCCTGACTCGCTCAGGTGCACATCTTCGCAATCCGGCTCGCGAATATGTCCATGTTACGAGTGCTCCCACGCACTGGTAACATGGACAGGCGCGCGCGGCGCAAAAAAACACACACACACCCCGAACAGACACCGGAACAAACACAGGAGGAGGAAGTGTAGGCCCAGTGTAGGCAAATGTGGCAGGCGCAGCGCTTTGGCATTTCTGGACGAAACCCTTGCGGTCGCTGCACGAAGAAAAACGGTCACGATTTCGTGACCAGCTTATCGGGCCGACTACGTGTCGAAGTGCCATCTAAGAACTGTGCCCGCTGTCAGCCATCTGTCGGACGCATTTATACAGATATTACACACACATACATTTACAAGTAATTAAGTACACTGATAGCTTGAAGAAAACTATTTCCTCTGTTCTTGTCTCCAATCATGAGACCAAAGTGACCCTGCACACCCCTAAACCCCAAACCTTAACCCCCAACTCCAAAGGCTACACCCTAAACTTAAGCCCCCATCTCCAAACCCTAAACCCTGAACTTTGGCACACGGCGCCCAACACAAAAACAAAAATAATCGTGTTAGAGAACAGGGTCAGGGGAATATGTAGGAAAGCGTGGCAGGCACAGCGAAATCGTGTCTTTTTGACCGACCCCAGCGGTCGCATCCAAGAAGCAACATCGGGTCTTGATATTGTGACCAGCTTCTAGGAGCATGGATGCTCCCACGCACTGGTAACATGGACGAAATCGTCGTTCGGGCAGGGATGCTCTGGCCATTCCCACGCACTGGCAAACACGAAATCGTGGTGCAGGCATGGATGCTCTGGCCCTTCGCACGTACTGGGAACATGGAAGTAATCATCGTGCGGGCATGGATGCTCTGGCCCTTCGCAAGCACTGGTAACATGGACGTAATCATCTCGCGAGCCGGAAAGCGAAGATGTGCACCTGAGCGAGTCAGGATGTTCATTTTTTTGCGCCGCAAGCCTAAGTTTAGGGCTTGGGGTTTGGAGTTGCGGGTTAAGGTTTGGGGTTTAGGGGTGTGCAGGGCCACTTTGGTCTCATGATTGGAGACAAGAACAGAGGAAATAGTTTTCTTCAAGCTATCAGTGTACTTAATTACTTGTAAATGTATGTGTGTGTAATATCTGTATAAATGCGTCCGACAGATGGCTGACAGCGGGCACAGTTCTTAGATGGCACTTCGACACGTAGTCGGCCCGATAAGCTGGTCACGAAATCGTGACCGTTTTTCTTCGTGCAGCGACCGCAGGGGTTTCGTCCAGAAATGCCAAAGCGCTCCGCCTGCCACATTTGCCTACACTGGGCCTACACTTCCTCCTCCTGTGTTTGTTCCGGTGTCTGTTCGGGGTGTGTTTTTTTTTTGCACCACGCGCCGTGGTCACTCCTTTTCGGCTTAAGGTTTGCCACTCTAACTGCAAACCAAGTCACGCGTGTGACAGGTCCTGACAGAACAAATGGATTACAGTCAGCGTTCGATAACTGGTAGTGTTGAAGCCCTGCCTTTACCGCTACCGCGGCGGCTCACCTTTTCTTCGTCTTTCCAACACCTTCCCAAAACGGCATAGGCACCACACATGGCAGGGAACCTGGGCAGAGCTGCAGCCTCCGTCACCGCGGCTAACGAGCTTGAACTTCGGTCCTAGCGCACACGATCTCACACTTACAAGTTCGGCTTGCTTGGCAACTTGGCAACCTTGGCAGCTTATCAAGGTAAACCATACTCAATACAGCACGAACGTGTCTGTCTAAACCTTGTGCTCATGCAAACGTTATACTTCAAGCGCAGCTCTTGGGCGGGGGAGTCCCCGCAGGCGACCCAACCCATCTTTTGGTATTGTATGTCATGAAACTGCTCTGTGCGAGGCACCCACCAGGCCTAGTCATCAACATGTCTATCCAACAAAACAGCCGAAGTGCCGCAGTTCTGGATACATCGAACTGCAGAGTCATGGCGAACAAACAAGGCTCCAGCAAGTGATGAATACCGTAAGCATTGTGAGGGGCATCTGGCAGGGATCGCTGGCGCCTCCAAACTTCACAACAGCAGAAATTGCTACACAACTGCAAACACAACAGAGTGACAGCAAAATCTGGAAATCTGGAACCCCGCCATTCATAGGTGGAGCCCAGAACTGCCGCTCGCCCACCCTCAGTATCTTGTATTTTGAAACCAAGGCGGGGGTTTCCGAGAGTAGGGGTATCCTTTTTTGGGAGTCCCTTTCAGGGGTTTCTATTCTATTTGGGGTGTATAAGGGGTACCCCTAGTGTGGGAAATACCCAGGTGAAGAATCGGAGCAAAATGGACGGAGTTGCTACCAGTACGTCCCACAAGCAAGGCTGTGCAGTGCCACTCTCAAGAGGCCTAAACCCTAAATTCTAGAAGCCCTAGGCCTTAAACCCTATACCTACTCCCGATAGGCCCTATACACTCTATAACCGCCAGAAGCCAGCCCTAAACCCAAGATACGCCCAACACCCCAGAAGCTAAGCCCTATAAGCCCCCCAAAAAAACCCTACATGCCCAAACAACCCTGCAAGCCCTCTCTCGCCTCACGGGAGTTGAAGAGCTTGGCCTGGGAAGAGGCCAAAGGCGCTCGTTGACGCCTCGGACGCCAGGAGTTGAGTTTGGGGTTTCGAGGCTTACCGGGCTTATAGGGTTTATTTAGGTGTGTGTGTGTGTGTTGAGGGTGGTTTCAAGGGCGTATATAGGGCTTCTAGGGAAGGGCCATGGGGCTTGTGAGGCATCTAGGTTTTCCGGTGTTGTAGCATTTCGGGCGCATCGGCTTATCGGCTTGTAGGTTTATGTAGAGACTTAACATTTAGAGGGTTCTCTAGGACTGGAGTTGAGGATTCAGGGTCATAGCTTACTGGTTGGGTTTCCTAGCGGGGGGGGGGGGGGGAGAAAATCGAAAGTCCAAGCAACTGTTGGAGGCACTGCAACGGAAATTCTCCAAGGCCCCTGCTGCCTCTTGTTCTGGAGCTGCATGCACCCGGGGAGCTTCATCCTCAGATTCAGGCAAGGGCGCCATCTGAACCAACGCATGAATGGCGGACTTGAAGCACCTTCCCCTCCCTTCCCCAAGTTGACACCTGCCCCAAGATTCCATGCGCCTGCGAATCGTCGTGAATCGTGATTAGAGTTGAGGTTCTATTTCCATTGATTCCTTGCATCATGCCTTCGTAGAGTTTAAAGCCTGCAAATTTCGGTCTTCAGGGCTTCTTCGGGATCGGAGATCATATCATTTTGGGGTTTTGACTTTTGGGTTGCAAGCCCCTGGCCAACAATGCCCCCCCCCCCCCCCCCCCAAAAAAAAAAAAAACTGCCGGCAACAACATAAGCCGCAAAAGCTTCTCGAACCTTTCTTATGGTGGCAACATGTCCAAGCCTGCTTTTTTGGACCCTGCTCCTGGAAAGCTACACCTCCTATCTGCCGTGGAACCCATGCAGGTCCCTCTTTATGCCACAGGCTGTCTAGACTGGACCCCCTCTTCAGTTCCACGATGGAAAGTTTGAACTGGGGACTCGCTTTCGACTTGGATCCTAAAAATATGTCCAGTCCCCGTTTAACTTTTGCCACCCAAGTCCAGTGAGCCCTGCTAGCCATATTGTAAGCCGCCCCAAGATGCGGCCCCGGATTTCCTCAGAATGCCATGCAGGGATAGTTGTTCGGACCCGTTCCCAATGCCCCCAAAGCGCGAGCAAGGCACCCATGTTTCCCCAGCGCAACACCACCACGAATGTCACTGACCAGACCACATGGAGGAGGCTTGTGGCTCCTGATACCCAGACCGGCATGGGCATCTCCATGTTCTGCAAGTAGGAAACAATCACCTGGGAATTGCTCCAGAATGAGGGCCCATAAGGACATCAGGGCAATATGGGGGGAGTCCTGATTATGGATTGTATAGGGCCTCTTTCAAAAACTGCCACCTGGTATTGAAAATTACTAGCAGTCCAAAAACTGCTGCGCGATTGTAGGATGCCGCATGCTGTGCAACTTCCTCATGCTAGCCAATGGCCACAAGGATGGAATCCGTGAACCACAGCCTGAACCAGAATGCTGTTTCAATGGAAGCCCCTAGAAGAATCAAATTGTCGAAGGGATTGTCGACCTGCGATTCACTCGTGACCCCATAGCTTCAAGACAACATTTCCAAATCAACCATGCATCAATGGGATCATCCACAAGAGCTGCACGGTGCTAATGACGCGGCTGCGCTGCAAATACTGCGTGCACAGCGAATACTGCCCGGCTCCATTGGCTTGGCTAACAAACGTGTCCAGCGCACTTGTTAAGCCCATGCCGATGGTCAACGCGCAGCAGTTCTGAATCAAGTTGCCCAAGCCGACCGCAGCCAACTCCGCATTATCTCCGACGATCTCGTTCAACAGCATCGCGACATCGCTACACATCAATGGAAACCAAAGCGGGAAAACCTCGGCCAGCAACTCTTTTTGCGCCGATGGCGCTTCCAGGAGCGGCTCCATGGCTTCTCGCTGGGTCATGCTAGGTAAGCATGTTACGGAACACCATTGTATGTAGAAGAATGTATGAATTGCTGTACTATAGTGCTGGTTGTAACTTGTGTTTTTCTTCCTTACCTGAGCTATTCTTAAGACTGTGTAATGGTCGAGGGTCCGGGGCTTGGAATTTTCCGCAATGGGCCTTTCGGCTGTACAGTTTGAGCGGCTGTGTTCAAAAAAGTCTGATGATTCACTTTCTGGAACGTGCAATTTCATCATACGAAATGAACCGATGCAGCGCAAGTTCCCACTGCTTCCTTGCAGTATTACTTAGTCGCGTCCGGTGCGTTTCTACTAGATAAGATTCATCTCCTTTCCTGAATCTGTCGTCGAAATGGCGAATAGTATCACCGGAACCCCCAAACACATGGAGGGGAAGATGCGGGCAGTGACCTCGTAGTCATTGCTTTCCCTTCCCGAATGGTCTAGCGCCGATGAAATCAACGAAAACCTAAACAAAAACATGAGAAGCTTCCATGAGCAGGGAAGTCTTCCCCCAAATTCCCCCGACTCGAAGGTTGAGAAAATGTACACTTCACATCAAGCTTGTCCTTTTTGCCCCATGTTCGAGGGACGCAGCCTCAGGGTCAAGGTTTTGGATCTAGCAGAGAAGCTGCTCGTGGGAGCTGCCTCTTGCTGCATGTCTCCATCCTGAGCGCGAGATAAACAAAGCACCCTGAGGTGGAAGATTCCAAGGCGCAACCGCACATGAACCTAGCCGAAAGATCCCACTCGCCTGGTTGCGGCAAGCAATGTTTCTGCATCATCTTCTTCCTTCTTCCCGCAGGTGTAAGGGTCCAGGGCTGCCCTCTGTTTTCCATGCCCACATCGCAGGCCCCATGCCGAGATGCCTGTGCTAAACTGACGCCTGGATGAAATGAGTGGAAAGAAGCTTCCCCCAGCAACCACAAACCCCACAAACGCAACACCGCAACGACCGCATTCGCCAAACAAAGCCAGGGGCGAGGGATCCGAAGCATGCGACTGATGCTCGTTCAGTTTTCACATCGTTGAACTCAAAGCACACTCCCTCAGAAACGAGCCCCGCCCTCTTCGCAATCCACTGTGACCCAATATGGGTGGACGTACAAACGGACTCGAAGTGTGTAAGATCGGGTCTTGCGGACTTTCTGGCTGCGCCTGCTTTCCGAAACCCCGTTGTTGTCGGTGCTCGAAAAAACGGCTCCGCCTTCTCGAGAAGGTTTTCTTCGAATCGGACTCTTTCATCCCGTCGTCGGCTTCGCGTGTCTTTGGCTGCTTTTGGGGGGCACCTGCCCGCTTCAGGCTCCACCCGCTGCTCGCTTACAGAAAATGTCACGGGTTTTTCTCTGCACGGATCACCACGAGGGATCTTGCACAGCGAAAGATTCTGCCATGAAATCATGTTGACCGCACCCTGTCACACCCTTGGAACCGCATGCCGGGGCATGTCTGCTTTGTCTTGGAAGTCAATCATTGGGCCCAGAGGTGACAGAAGCACCCAACAATAATTAGAAACCGTACCAAAATGGTTTTATACTTGGAAAGCACTCCCCCACCCCCCCTATCCCCGGACCCACCAGAACGCAAAAAACAAGCAGCCCTGTTTTTCTTCAACTGCGTGTCCTACTTTTCAGGGCGCCCCCTCCCCAAATCTACAGGCCCCTTCGGGACAGCTGGCAGGACACCCAAGACGCTTTCAGGCTCGCCAAGCGGCTGGAAGGAAGAGGTGCGTCAAACTGGCTGCAACCACTCTTCTTTCTTTCTATTGATCTCTTTTTCTTGCTTGGGGCCTGGGGACCGAAGTCCCCGTGCGGAGCTCAACCGGGGAGAGGACCCTTGACACACACTCACTCTCTCTCTCTCTCTATCCGACTCTATCCATCTCTCTCCCTCTCCCTCCCTTGCTATTGTTGCCGTTGCTGCTGCCGGCGTGCCTCTTGATCACAGACCACTGCTGCAAGATATCTTTAGGAGACGACGAAGATAAGTAATTAAACATCTTGTCTTGCCGGGCGCTTAGCTGCAGGCTGAGATGCTTTCCGTGCAGCTGTCCTGCATGCACTGAGCCAGGTGAAACCCCCAAAACGTGCGCGTGCTGCATAAGAATTCGACTCTGGTGACCCAGCCTGGCAGTTCGCACGTCTCTTGGCAATCGCAGGCGCAGCCCTGTTTCCGGCACCGAAGCTGTTGCTTGCCCAGGATGCCATGGTACAGGAACCAAGTCTTCCCAGTCCGCACCTTCAGTCCAAATCCAGGCTCTTGCTGCAAAAAGGGTCCGCTAGAAGAATTTTTTAATCTGCCAGTCAGGGCAGGTGAGGTTCATACAGCTGATCAGTGTGCACGACATAGGCAAAACAAAAACCATAAGCTGAGGATGGGCCAGATTCTTGTATTTAGCCCCGACGCAACCAGTGCCTGAACATGCTTGAACCACTTGAAGATCCAAATCTGACTGAACCCCCCAGTGACTAACAACAATTCCACAGAGTTTCCGTCGGGCGCCACTACCACATGTTGCTCGTCGCAGTCTGCGCCTTCGTCCGCCACATGCAGCGCGATGTCGGAAGCGTGGAGCGCCCAAGGCACCGAAAGAGTGAGCTTGTGCAGCTTGCTTGGCACCAGCTGTTCATGGGCAACATATGTCTTGGAAGGCCCCGAATCTTGCCCAGATTTGGATTGACCTTCCATGCGTTCTTTTGCAAGGATCAGGTCACCTTTAGGTGCGTCATGCAAGCAAATGTCTGGCGCATCTCGGATGTAGCAATGAAGATATAGCTCGTCATCCAAGTCAGGGATGCAGAAAGGGGAGCCAAAAGCAGACTTCCAGCCAGACACTTTGCGCGCATGGCTTCGCACAAGCATTTCATTGTTTGAAACCTGGGGGCAGAAGCTCAACTCTTATTCGGTGCGCGGACCATGCTGATCTTTTCTCGCACTGGAAGCATATCCCCATGTAAAACGCTCGGGAAACTGCTGGAATTCTCTCCCAAGAGGCACACAGAAAACGGCCGCCAGCGGTCAACAGCCGACAGGCTTCAGCAAGCATGTCGCGCGAGTCGTCCGCCTTCAAGGCGTCGAAGCCTCGGTGCACAGCGGTAGCACAGCCCTCTGAACCCCAGGCCCACATGGTGAAGTTTTTTAACCCGTGACTCAGGATGGTCTCCAGGTGGCAGCCTTTGTCCAGGACCGCATCGAAGCTCCCGGGCCGCAGTGGCAGCGCTCGCGCATCCAGTGTGGCGAAGTCCGCGGGCGCAGAAGGCGAAGCTGCCTGGGCAGCAGCTTCAGTGGCGGTGGGCGAGAAGTCCACCCCCAAAGCTGCGAAGCCACTGCTGGTGAGGCCTGGCACCAGGGAAAAGTTGCCACAGCCCAGCTCCAGGACAAGGGCAGGCGGGACCAAGGCCAGGGGGCCCAGGATGCCATTTTGATCACACAAGTGGCGTTTCAGATGAGGCCAGTCCACATACCACTCTGGTGCGCCTTCAGGCTCTGTGCGATAGCGCTGCTCCCAGTACTCCTGCTTCGAGTAGCTGGGAATATCCATGTTGTCCAACAGCAGCGAAGTCTAAAAATGTGGCAAACACTCGCTATCCGCTCTTCCAGGCGTCCAGGGCGTGCAGGACCATTCATGCGCAAAACGTGCCGTGCCACGCGGCGACTACATGGTGCTATGATGCACCTTCGAAGCGGAGAATGGCACGATGTCTGAATGATGAGGGGGGGATGGGTGGGGATGGTGGGAGGGGGGGGGGTAAAGGGGACAGTGGGGGGGAAGTCATCGCAGTCTTTGTGGGGGTCTTTTTGCCATCTTCGCAAGGCTTTCCCTTCTTCGAGATGCACCTTCAATGAGGAAGCGCCGCTGTGCTGCCCAGGGAGCCTCGTGTAAGAGCTGCAGTAACTACAGGGTGATGTCAGCTTTCTTGTGCCAGAAGTGCATACATAACTCATACATATCTGCCGCGGCTCACAAGCTTTGCTACTGGAGGACTCCTGTGAAGCCTGAAGTAACAACAACTATGACCAATGGCCTTGGTGAGACGCCCAGCACGCCTCCGCAGCACCTGCCGTCTTAGGTGTAATATCGTAAGTATACACTTACTGTTGCTCTTCACTAGTCTCGACGCTGCGAGGAGGGGGATTGGACTTATGAGATTCGCCGGTCAACACCTCGGACCTAAGATTGTTTGGCCAGCACTGGTGAATGAAGTTGCTGCTCCATCGACTACTGGCTTTGAGTCAACAAGCAGCTGACAAAAATCGCCCATGCCGTAAGTTCTGCCACATAGGCCTTTCCCCGATTATCCCAGCGCGTGCCGAAGCTTATCTACATCCCTGAATATTTCTCTGCCACCTCTGGGCCGGAAAAGTATGCAACACAACACCAACTACCATCAAATATCTGCCCTCGTTCTGAAGATGCCTTGGTCTAAAGCTGCGGCATTCCTGTTTAGACATGGAGGAGATGTGGCACTATCCTTTTGTTGAATATTGACACGGGTTCTCTCTTCCTCACGCAGCTTGTGCTAGAAGTCACGATGGATCTTCAACCTCTTTAAGCAGCATTCCCAGGCCACCCGCGGCATGCGCCGCGCCACGGAGATCTCAAACGGCGCTTGGACAGTGCCAGAACGAAGAGCCTGTGCAGGGAGTCTATTGAATCTACCGAGCGTGAGGTTGTACTGGTGGCGCGTAGCTCCCTGAAACTTAATCACGTGGCTTATCACATACAGCACACAAGGTCCTTTTGCAGTCTCGACATGATGCAGGAAAGCTAGGACTCCATTTGCATAAATATAAACAAATAAATATAAAAAATAAATAAATAAATAACTATATATATATCTATCTATCTATTCTGCCCAATATCGCAGTACGACCGAGTAAGACTGCAAGACACTCTATGCCATATGCAGGTTCGACGAGCTTTGGCACCTCGATGAGGCCACTGGCATGGCGGTGTTCCACGTCTACTGCCCAGCCGCCTTCTACGCGAGCCACGCGGCCCACCTTTGCCTGAGCTGCAAGTGACTGCAAGTGACTGCAAGTGCAGCAAGGGAGGCGGGCTTCACATGCACACAATGCTTGGATCCTGCTGCCCCGGCAGGAGAAGTCTCGTCACAGCAGCGGTGATATGCATTCGGCCACATCTTTGCCAGGCTCCTTGCGGCCCAGCAGCTAGCTGGGGCAACATGGACCCAACCTGAGGGTGATGCTAACTCAGTGCCGGGCTATGAGCTAGATGCAGACATCCAGGACATGGCCAAGACATGCCAAGACCAAAACAAAAAGTAGAAGTAGCTTCATTGCCTTCCAGAACTGCTCCGAGCCGCGATTCGCTGGATGTCACCGTCGGTGCTCGCCACCAAGTGCTCAGGATCGTTAGCCAACAAGCCTGCTCGCTCTGTTTCTTGAGATGCTACTGCACAGTCTCAAGTCTTCACATTTTTATGGGAGCGATCGTGCCGAGAGCAGTTTTGGTTGAGCCATGTCTGCGCCAAGAAAGAAGCGGTTTCACCCATAATGCCATAATACGCAAATGAAGAGGTCGCTGGCCGCAGGCAAGCGGCAAACAAAGCCACTGCGGCCACTAAGGATCGAGGGACGATCACGGAGGGCCTGCCGAGCAGAGTACAAAGCCAGCACAGCAGTGCGGCAATCGATGCATCCCATTTACAGCTGCTTGCAATCCAACAAAGTTTGTGGAGGCCTGCTGGAGGTCTGCGTGGCGGCTATCCAAGACTGCCATGGCCTCATGTCGGTGAGGCAGCTGAAGTACATATCGTTCTGCTGCCAACAGCATGATTTGAAGGGAGTAGCAGCACGTACACTGCCGCGGCCCAAACACAAACTGAAAGAGCAAATGGTTTTCGCTGATTCTGCTTGAGGGGAGCTAGATGCAAACGAAAGTCAGCCACTTGGATCCATTTGGGATCTACGTGGACGTGGACTCGAAACACGAGAATATCAGCTGTTGCTTTCAAACCTGCGAAAACCCCAGCCCAAACCTTTCTTGCGAACCCGGTCGGAGCGCTCTCAACCTTTTTGCCCCCAATCAGGAGTCCCCGAGCTCGCATGCCAAAGCACTGCTGCAAGGATCCCGGGGCCGTTCTCATCGAGCAAGGCCTCGGCGTCCTCGTTCGGGAGAATGGGCTTTCTGAATTCTGATCAAAAGTGTTCAGGGCCTGGAGCACATGCTGAATAATTACTGGCAGTATTGCAGACACCTCGGCATCGCATTTGTTGGTCAATCTGCGCCTTCAGCAGCGGATCGTACTCCTCTGGCTGAATACCTGGACGTACGAGTCAGTTCACACAATGTCTCTCCCTGACATCTCTCATGGGGGAGCGCCAGGGCCAACTTTCCCAGCATTGATATGCAGTGGCTACTAGCTTACGTGCAACTCCTGTGCTCCTTGCAATACATCTCCTATCAACACAATATTGCCTCACTGCCAGGGCTCCTACCCAGGCACATGCATCCTTGCGTGCACCACGTGCCCACCTGTTCAAGCACAAATCCTCGAATGACCCTATCTCCTCCTCTCTCCCCCCCAAGCCACCCCCACGTTCCCCGAACATGTTCTAATCATCCTGAACCCAACTTTTCGGAAAGTTCCGCTAGCAGGGCCCAAGGAGCCGAAGAGCTGCTCCAGAAGGCGGCTCCTGAGCTCTGCAAGGCCTTAAGCAGCCCCCAAGACTACCATGACATGCCATGATTACTTCATCAAGTCCTTTCCTGGTGGGGCCATGGCAGTCTAAGCCTCTTCAGCCCTTGTTGTATCTAACCACTGCTGTATCGATATATTCATGTGGTTGTTCTGGTTGTGATGGCTCTTGGTGGCAGCGCGTGGCTGTAGCTGCACTTGTCGCAGTGGCGTTGTTTCCTTTTGGGTTGTTAGTTTGGGAGGGTGTGCGGGCGGGCGGGCGTGGGCGCGTGCGTGCGTGCGTGTGGGCGGGCGTGCATGCGTTCATGCTTGCATGCGTGCATTCGTTCATGCTTGCATGCGTGCATGCGTGCATGCATGCATGCGTGGTCACTGTGTGTCTGTGTGTCTGTGCGTCTGTGCGTCTGTGCGTCTGTGTGTGTGTGTGTGTATTTGTGGGTTTGCGTGTTTTAAGTGTTTGTGTTAGTGTGTTGGGGCTTTCGTCTTCGTTTGTGTTTGCTGTTGCTATTGCACCGCTGCTGCTCAGCATGAAACAGGATCGTCCTGGCCCTGGCCTCCAGATTAGCCACAAGTCTGCCTCACGTTGGGTTGGTTCTGCGACAGACTTGTGGGCCGTGGAGGGCGGGCGAATGCCGCTTTGGCTCGAGTGTGGGCGGATTTGGTTCAACGTGAGAATGCTGTGGTCGTCCGGCCACAGGGCTTTGTCTTTGTTGCAGTTGTCAATTGTTGCGTAATGATGGCGGTGCTGCAAAACAAGGGTGGGTGACGCACGTGTTGACTGAAACTCTGTTTCATACTACATGATGAACTTGATCGCGCATGGGGTTTCATGCTCTGGGGCATGGAATGCTCACGCACAAGCTTGCTGCCAAACGCGCATGAATGCCGACAAGGACGCGTGCAGGAGCTTGCGGGCTCATTCCACACTGATTGACTTCCCTAGCGAAGTTCTCCCAAAGCTAAGTATTGCGAACGCAAGTTGAAGGTTTCCAACAACAGATCGATCGAATGGTCTCCGTCTCACTAGTCCATTCCAGGCTCACAGCTGCGTGGTGAACGTCCAGCGGCCCTGGAGCTGCGATCCTCTGCTCCAGTTCACGTGACAATTCGGGCGAATAATGCACAAGCGTGTAACACAGATCCGCTAAACCTTCACATGCCCTCAAAAACTCTTAAACCCAGCCAAACGTGGCTCAACCACAGTGGAAGTCTGGATCAAAAGTCATGGCATGCCACATAGAAACGATTGTACCAGAACCTCTTGCGTTTGGGACCGTGCGTGAAGCAAGCAGCAACTCCGCGAGGATCCAACTCGGTTTAATTCATGCTCTCATTTCTAGCCAGCAGCTGGCAACCTTCGACACACCCACAGGAACTACGGTGTGCGGGCAATATCAAGATGATGTTGTTCGCTATTTTGGCTGTTCCTTCTTCAACAAAGAACTTTTCGCTGTCGATCCAACAGGTTCCGAGCCCCGGACTTCACAAGGAGAGGTGTCAGCTACAAAACCTTAATTTTAAAGCTTGGAGCCAGGGATCATCGAGAACTCATGCTGGGTCACTTGGCGGATTCTCTGCACGTATCTTCTCTCCGTCGAGTCGTACAGAGTGATGCAGGTTCCTCACAGAGCAAGCGCAGCCCTGATAAACCAAGGTCTGCATCAGCAGCGCTGCCACATCTGGTGTCTTCGGTCAAATTAACATCAAGGCCACGATGCAACATCAAGAGTCTCAAGGGAAAGCTCTCACATTGGGCCTTGGGTCGGGCCTTGGGTCCCTCCACATTCCTGGAAACGTGTCTGTCGCCAAGCTTCCCCCACGTCCAGCGCGGCCCGTTCGCCCAGATCGGTGCACGTACTGCCTAGCACGAGATGCACAAGCATGCAGTGGCGGAAGCAGAACCTGAAGCTTGCAGCAAGGCCAGCAACCACCACTGCATAAGCCACGGTGTTGCCACTGAAGTACATGAAGCCCGTTTACTTGCACCTGGCAACGTAGCAAATCCGTGCCCCGGACATACTATGACATACCCAAGCCACAGGGGTGCAAATACTCTGTAAGTCCAGCCCCAACCTGTGAACCGACATGTGCTCCCAATTCCCGACCCTGGAGCTCTGTGCTGCAAGGGGGGCGCGGCATCCTTTGGGGGGTGGAGCTGCAACACCTCGGCACATCTGCGGGTCCGCGACGTCCGGGACGTACTTCTGGACTGATTCTTGTTAAGGATTCCGTGGGAGGCAGACCACGTAGCTTGTGGAATGAAGTTGTTGAGCAGGAGTCAATGTTTAGCAGCAACAGCAAGAGAACTTGAAGGTAGCCCGAAGTGATAGTGCAATAGGACTGCAATAGCCAGCAGCTGCAATAGTAGTAGAGATGCCAACTGCAGCAACAGATAGTAGCCACAGTAGTCAGAGCAATAGTAATAATAGTAGAACAAGCAATACTCATAGCAGTCGCAAGGGTCGTTGCAGTCATAACCTTTATACTAACAGTGCTTGTAATCAGTTTAGGAATGACAACTAGCAATTAGAAGCTGGTTAATGAAGTAAATTGTTGAAAAGAAGGAGTCGTTCTTAGTCAGTCATGCGCAGGTAGTGACTCAATCCAGAATGAGAGCGCTGGAAAAGTGGCAAAAAGTAGCAACAAGACTACTCATTTGCAAAAGAGAAGTGCCCGCCGTCGTGGCATGGCAATTGCACTAGCAGTAGTATTACCGATGCCAGTGATGCTAACAGTGTAACAGCAAATGCAATAATCACTGTGGTTACGTTACGTACAGTGGGAGACCGAAGATTGCAACGGCGGAGGCTTTCACGCATCTAGACACATGACTGTGACGGGTGTGGCTTGTTGGCGCTGAGGGTCGCAACAAGACTTGGTTTCCCCAAGCAGACGCTGCGCAAAACAGGTATGAGCAGTGCTCAGTTGTGCATGTGGACAGCGCAAGCAGAAAGCATGTTTCTTCAGGGTAAAGTGACCATTACAAGTCTTCATGAAGACTCTCTAGGGACCCTCTTCAGCTTCAGAGGGCAGAACATCAAAAACAACTTTTTAAGCATCAAAGCGAACGAAACCTAATCTCAAAAAAAGACAAGGATCACCCACAATAATCGCGGGCTCCATATGCTCTAAACTGCAGCATTTCTTCTCCGACTTCTGATTGTTCACAGGCGCCTCATGTTGCAGACAATATATTTCTGACAGCTCGTAGCCCCGAATGCTGCGAACATACGGCAATTCTGACAGCTCATATCAGCTCCACATGCTGCAGAACAGCATCTCTCACAACTCATGGGCTCCATATGCTAGGACTTACAGAATTTCCGATTTATCACCCTCGCCCCCACCCCTCCCCTACCCAAAGCGCTGATACCTTGCAGGATTCATTCGGTTTTCCAGGAATGTCTACTGATGGTGCGATTTTCTTTTGCGCGGCTTAAACGTGGCAAGGGGGTTGGCGGGGGGGGAGGGGGGCGGGGTAGGGGGGCGCAGCTCCCTCGTTTACAAAGCGCTTGCATGACAGGTTTGGAATGGAAAGGGTCCAGGTTTGCACGAACGTCACATGTAAGCATTGCAAATCAAACTAAACTCTCTGTCGTTCTTCCTTTCCATGTTTTCTAAATGCTGTCATTCGCAGCATTGCAGCTTATAAAATGCCAGAAACTCTGCATCGTTTACAGGAGCCGATGAGGAACACGCTGTGTTTTGCAGCAGCCGAGCCTGTGAACAATGGAAACGCTGTAACTATTGTTGCTGATTGACTGCTTATTGGTGTATCTTGAAACTGTTCTTGATGCTGTTGTTTCATGCCTCCCCAGTTTCAGAGCAGATCCTGGAGCTGAAATTTCTTCCGAAAGTTGCTAAGGTATAACCGAGCTGCCAGGTTGACGTCTGCAAAGTCTACCCCGCGAGCGACCACGTCTGTGGTGACAAGAACATCAAACCTCGGCTAGGCCCGCAGTCGGAACAGAAGCAGGGCACGGTGCTCTACCCTATGCTGTGCCGTGAGGCCACATTTGGGTTGGAGGCTGCGGAGCAGCACCGGCTGAATGCACGGCCAAGCAGCTGCTTGTTCGCGAAGCCCGTCAGCACAGAGTCCCGCTCCTCTCTGGCAGGTACCATCACTGCTGTTCCAATACATCTGGTATGGGGATGAGAGAGCCAGCTGACGAATCCTGATCACATGCTCATGTCGGACCACCACCAAATTATCGCTCTCATAGGGCATCCCCAACAGTCTAGCAACAGCTTCGCCTTGGGTTCAATCTTCGCTTGTGACGTAGTGTTCCCAAATCTTGGCCCGAAGCCGAGCCATTGTGAGACTTGACGTGGAGGTAGCTCATATAAGCTAGGAAACTGAGCACTTATATCTGATGTCGTAATGGGCACACGACTGTGTTCATCTGGAACAGATTGAACCGGGTGATATGGGGTGATCAAATTGAGGACAGTGAATCTAATGCGTCTCCTCACATCTTGATCTTCCTGTCTTATGTAGATGGAGAGAGCGAGAGACATGAACCTACATAACTTGGACATTCATGGTATGGTGGATCCGCTAGGCAGCAAGAAGGCGGACAAGATACAACTTTATAAGGTTGGGTGTTTAAGCTCAACGTGAAGAGAAGATCAGCAAATCATGAAATTAAGACTAAAGACTTCTTTCATGTGGACCGCCAAGTTGAATCAAAACTGCATTTCATGAAACACCAGAGAAATTCACGTCGAATGTTGTCATTCTCATCATAAGTAAGTTGACATGAAAGCTAGTGGATCGCCAGCACATTCAACCGTGGCTAACTGGGCAACCGTGAACCCTCAAAGTGCTTGTAGCGGCCTTTTGCGAAAACACGACCCCGTACTCTAAAACTACAAAGCCTCCCGTAGTTTTGTGCCTCGGCCGCAGAGTTTCCATGTAGGCTCCGTGCTCGGAGCTCCATAGCAGGATGTGCCAGCAGCGCCGATGCCTGTGACAAGTGTTGGGCGCACTTTCAAGATTTGAGAATTGACAAGGGACAGGAGTGGACGAAAGCAGCAAACTGCTAGGTGTCAACATTGACTTCCTGCGCACGCCATGTCTGCGTCGGTGATACGAGTATCAGCTAGTCTGCGTGCGTTTGGGGGAGAATGCCCCGAATGCCTTGAAACCACAACTGAAGCGTGAGGCTAGCAAGAGCTGCCGATGAGCCGCCAAGACCTGACATGTACATCCTTCTTCTGAAAAGCCGAGTCGAGCCTGGGAGGCAGTGTCCACAAACACGATGCAGCGGCCGCCAAGCATGTCCATCCTTGGCCAGGCCCTTTTGCTTGCAAACCTTCAGTACCCTCCCTTGTCAATACCCTTCATTCAGGAGGATGTCCGAGGAGTTTTTCACATGCTCGGTATGCCTAGCTGGCGGGACATTGTCGCACCACATACGCTACATGCTAGTGCACAACCGACAGTTTGGTACATGCAGTGGGGCATCGGCCTGCGCAACAAACTGGTGGGATGTCCGGGCTTTGTTGCCAAGCTTCTTCTCGTTCAGAAGGTGCATCAAGACGCGTGCGCGGGCTGTCTGCCTTCGACTCTGCCACAAAGAACTGACACCATCTGAAAGTCACATGCCGCATGGCTGCGGAATCCCTCAAAATTGACGCGAGCCTACGCGTACTCGTTGCATTGGGTTTGGGGATTAGCTAGTCTCTGCACGAATGGCAGGGAAGCTCGAACATCATCTGCAACCAGTTTCCAAACCGTTCTGACCCTGCTTCCTGACATCTTGTCTCTTCCACGGTCTGATATGGCCTTTTGTCTGGTACTTTGCACAGACGGTGGTCAACCGTGGTCACAACCTGGGCAAATGCTGACAATAACATACACGCAGAAGGCCAGCTGAAACAGATAATTACGCTTGATCACAAGCCGACTCGTAGCCAAGCCAAAGATCTTGTAGCTCCCATCAATAGCTGACGTCCCAAGTGCAAAGTTAACCACGCAAACTGCCACAAACCGTCCCGCAAGCAAACGACTACCCATCAGTTTCGCAGCTCAAAGGACAGCATCGCCCTTTGGCCCACGCCGATCTACCAGGTCCACGAGCTCGTGGTCCTTGGCTCTGTCACACAAGCTTCGAAGTGACAGGCAAGAGCAGTGAATTGTCACAGACTCTGTCAATCACTACCCTTGCAATCCGCACGCTCTGATCGAAACCCCGGCATGGGAGCTTATGGGAGCCAGGTAACTGGAAAGTGCTGGCGGATGAGCGTTGAGACATCATCTGGTAAAGAAGCAGAAAACAGGACGTGCTGCCTTGGTGCTGAGAGTGCATCCCTGCGCAGTGACAAAGTATGCATGGATGCACCTAACCTGAAGAATTTGAAATGGTTGAGGAAAAAGAGAAAGAGCCAAAAGGCTGAGGCAAGCATTGCCCCCATCCACAGCTATCTCGACCTTTGCTGACACGATGCATCCCTGGCTTGGCAACGGCGTTCAGCACACGCTCCACTCGGCCCACAAATTCCGGACCGAACCTGCATTGACCAAGACATGCTCTTTGCCAGACAAACGAACTAGTGCAAGCATCGCACGAGGCGGCTCAGCACCCTTGAACGACCCGGCCCGTCATGTCTATTTTTCACCACGCCAAGTCCATCACATGCGATGCGAGTCGCGACTCTACCAACCGAGGACAACTTCTCGCATACGTCCTCCCTTGGAAGTTGCCTGAGCCGGTGAAGAACAGTGGCTAAGGCTGTGGCATGGCGTCTGCCTCGTCAATCACAAGCGCTCGGACGTTCTCCGTTTTCAGGGCTCCTTCGTCCACCAAGCAGCTCACAAGACTGGACAAGTGTTGGGCAGGCTTGGGCTGAGAGGCTTCCAGGTTCCCAACAAAGGCGCCTCTTTCAACAAGCCGTGCGCAGCGCCCAGGCGTGGCGACCTCAAGCTCAAGCCAGATTGAGCTTTACAAGTACAGTAGCGTCCGATTTGGCGAGACAATGCGCCAAACTGTTGTGCCGCGCTCTAGTGTCTGCGGGCTGCCGTTTCTGAAGCATCGCTGCGCTCACGAACGTGCCGCCATCACAACAGTGTGACAATGTGCAATATATTGCAATATCACATGTATATATATATATATATATATATATATATATCATTGCGACATGGCTTGCTGAACGCTGAAAAATGCCTCCCACGACTCAAGTGCAGCCCGAACGGCGACCGCCAAGGCACCCAACCGAACCAGCTGCTCCTGTAAGGCCGAGGCAGGGAACCTTTTTGCCTGGAAGAGATAGGTCCAACCCTACACGGGCCCACGGGCCCATGGACCCACGGGCCTACACAAATACCCAAGATTGGAAAAAGCAAAAAGCGCTTCAGAATCAGATATGTATGCGAATTTAATACTCATGACCCCCTAACCATGTTTCACTTGTCTTGTCGCTCGAGGGGGCACACAGCTTAAGACAAGACGCTTAGACTAAAGAAAGGATGCTCTTCAGAATAAGATACGTAAGTGGATGTAACACTCATGCCCCCCCCCTTCACCCCCGACAAAAAAGGTAATTACTTTTGTCTTGTTGTGGGAAGAGGCGCGTAGTCTAAGATGAGACACCTAAACTGCAAATATAAACTTGCAATGAAACATTTACTTCTTCACGATGTGGAAAAATCTCCGTTGCCTATGGGGCGCAGAACCAGATTCAGAAAAGATGTTCTTCAGAATAAGATACATCTGCAGATGTGATACTCATGCCCTCCCTCAAAAAGTTGCATTTGTTAGTCTTGTCCTTCGAAGAAAAACAGAGCTTAAGACAAGACACTTAAACTAAGAAACGATGCGCTTCAGAATAAGATACGTTTGCACATGGAACACTCATGCCCCCTCGCGAGAGAAAAAAGGCTGCTTTTGTCTTCTCGCTGGAGGGGGCACACGGTGTAAGACGAGGCGCCTAACTAAGAAAGCTTGCGATATGACACTATCTACGGTTTCAATGTCACTTAATTAGTAACGACACGGGAAGCATGCTACCACCGATGAAGGCAAAGGGATTAAGCAGATACTGCACGTACATCTACGGTTGCGTTGAAAAAATCCTGGCGAAGGTCCGAACACATTAAAATGACACGTTCTGCGTACTAAGCTCAAACCTGCGGATGCAATACGAGTGACCAAGAAAATTGAACCTCTTGTGTTAAAACTGATAAAGTAAATACTCTGATTCCCTTGCCAGACCCCAAACTTTCTTGTTACAAAAACTCCTTCTCTGAGATGTTCACTGTTCGCTTTTGTCGAGAAATTGAATTTTGCCGTTATGGATAAGACCAACCGAGATTGAAGCGAGACAGGCCTCCAAGCCAAAAAGTCGCAGCGTAATGACCGTCAGCTCGGAAGCTCTGGTCCACAGGGCAATCTGCTCTGCATCTCTTAACTTTCATCCAATGCATACCCTGCACACAAACAAACACCCGCCGAGATATGCGAGCACTTCGTCAAATTAACTCAAGATGGTCTTCTTAACTGTACCGACACCTAACAACCGGAGAAGGTGGAAATTTCAAGCCACGGCTCGATCAAACCTGTCTGTTGCAAGTAACCAATTCCCTACAACATCTTCTATGAATCACTCGGGCCATCGTATAGAACCTCCTGAGCCTGATCAACTTTCTTGTTTTCTGACTTTTTTTTGCGAAAAACGTCTCGAATCAGTCTGTCTAGAGGTTCACGGGCCCGCCACGGGCCCGTAACTCAAATGGACCTAGGCCAGAACCTTCACAGCCTTTCTCGTTCTCTCGCTCTTTTCCTTCCCTCCTTCTTCCTTTCTGTGCTTTCTTTCCAGGAAGCCGCAGAACCAGCGCACCCTTGTCTGAACCCTCACAGCAATCCAGGCAGCTGCGGTACTTGCGAGGACACTGAACTGCGCTGCTGGAAGTGCCAACTCAGTAACTCGGCCCGCAAAAATTGCAGCTGATTGCAAACCCGAGTCGGACCTGCGAATCCAAAGTCTCGCCGCCAAACACCTGAGTGCACGAACACACTCTCACCAATTCTCACGACAAAACATCAAAAAGTAACAAAAGCAAGTGTCCAGGAGCCCCCTCTACAAAGTTCAAGTTTGGCGGGCTGTTCTGACTCGGCCGAAGGGGGCCGGGGAGTGGGAGGGGGGGTCCTGGCACAGTAACGTTAAGGAGCCAAAAGACCAGTGCCACGTCCACCTGTACGGAGAGCGAGAGCAACACGGCCCCAACCTTAAAGCCAGGAAAGGGCTCAAGCATCAATGCTCCGGCCGATGGTCTGGAGGAGTCCGGGTATGGCTTGTAGATGGCAAAGAGAGCTTCGAGAAGTTACTATCACCACGCTGTCCGGGCTGGCCTGCTTGCAGAGCTCGCGGGTGGGCACCAGAACCAGCAACGAGTGAGGCAGAGTCATCTTCCTGAACGTCTGTTATTGTGCGCCAATCTAGATGTCTTTGCTGAAAGTGTTTCGAAAATCTTGTTTTATTCAGGCACAAGATGTGGGCCAAGCGGCTCATGTCTCATTCTTTCGAGCAGCGGCAGCAAGTAAGCCACCTGACGATAGCTGAGGCTTCGGGGCTCGTGGGTTTGCATCTTATGACCCTGAATTGAAGATCCATGGAACCTCTCCTTCCTGGATCCCCAAAGAACCACAAGAAGCTGCAAACCCTGGCCGTCTTGCCGGTCCCGGTCTTCGATCGGCCCACGAAGCTCCTGCCCCGAAGGATGGGATCAAAGGCACGCCTCGGCTCGGGTCTTCTGGCATGTGGCGATCATTGCAATTCATGTCACGCATGTTTTGCACAACTATTCAGTAACTATCCAACATGTAAGAAACTCCGGGCCAGGCCGCGACTGAATTTCGAAGAGTTTAACCACACCCATGCCATAGAGACTCCTCAGGAGCTCAGGATGCTATGTTTTACCACCTCGATGGGCCTCGAAGGCGCAAGGCTGCGCATTGCATGCTGACATGTCGATAAACGGAACGCAGGAACCACGAACACATCCTGCCCCAAAAGACCTGGCGACCTGGTGCTATGGCTGGCAACTGCAGCAAATACAAAGGTGAAGGACTCCGAAGGACAGGTAAGCTCAGCATCTGCTTCAGAATCTCTGGTATTGGCAGCCTCGGTTCGGCTACCCGGGATATCTTGCACCGGGCACATGCACGTAGATTTGTTTTTGCCACCCGCCTAGCTGACACTCAGGATGCAGTGCAGTCACCGCAGGGCACTGACTGGTAAAATCGTTGTTCAAGTGCCTTTAAAGATCAGCAGAAGAAGAGCTCAGACCCATAGAAATTTATGTGGTGGCACTCTGCGTCATAACATTTCTCGAAATGGTACATGTAGTGGATGCCTAAAACAGGGCAGAGACAGAGGACCAGGAGACCAAAGCATGATAAGACCGAAGCCAGAGGACCTGCAGATCAAGAAACCAGGGGAGCTCTTTGTCTTCAAGACAAACGGACCGAGAGACCAAAAGAGCAGGCAGACAAGGACCAGGGAACCGAAAGAACAAAGTCCTAACAACACAACGAACAATCCTACATTAAACTATCCTCTGTCTCCTACTGTATAATACCCTCGTAGTGCTAGACTTTTGGCTGCGGGACTTGTCCACCTTCCGCGTGGCAGCCGCAGACTGCTGCTGGGCCGAGCGCAGTGTAGCTTCGGCAGCCACTCGCCTGTCTGAAATGACATGACATAGTTTCCGAAGATGAAGCTTCTTGCAGAATCAGAAGTAGCATGAGCCTAACCGGTAATCGTCATCTGCATATTCTACTAGGCAGAGGTCCGCGCACCTGAAGAGGAGGCGGCTGCTTGGGCTCCACAGCCGCCAGACCGCCATACCGCCCCGCCATCCATTCAGTTTAATCCGGAGGTCCTTGTGCTGAAAGCACAGCAGAAGCCCACGAGGGCCAACCTGGACCTTTACAACATCGTCTGTTTTGAACTTGTCGGGACTTGCGATGCTGCAGGATGTACGATGCTGGACTCGTGCTATAGAATGCCGATCGGGCAATAACAGCTAAGGAAGCCGTTTGGTGTCGATCCACTCGAGATGCGCGTCGTGAGCATCCTAGTTTTGCAGGGCTGCTAAGCTGGGCATCGCTTCCTAGCTGCATGTGGCAAGACATTGCGCTGCTACGACACTTGAGAAGAGGGCTACGAAGGTTCGTTGACCCCCTTGCTTTAGCATGCGAGACCCATGCCTCTGGAATGTTTGCTGCTTTCAGTGCAAGGTTGAGGGTTCGCGCGCATCAAGTACTGTCATCAAGAAACTGACAGATGTGACAGGTGAGGCGTACAAGATTGAAGAGGCAAGTCGGGGGTGAAGACTTGCGTGTTGCAATGTTTAAAATTGAAGGTGTTCTGTTTCTTGCTCACAAGATTTTGAACTTCTTTCCCACTTCCGAGAGCAGAGCCGGCGAGGGGCACCAGTATGGGGCCCGTGTTTGGCAGGGACCTCCGAACCTCCAGCATCCTTTGCAAAAGGCTGCAGATGCAACCTCTTGTCGTGACTGTTCTGGGCAGATGGCGCTCCTAGGACCGATTATGCCACCGACCTTGCGTTGCCCCTTTCCAAGGCTCCAGATCAAAATATCATACCATGAAAGCTTCGGACTTCCTTGTGTGGCCCAAGAAGAAACAGAGTGAACAAGAACAATCGCAAGGTGCCAAGGAGCTAGCTTTCGTGACGACTTTTCTTCGAAGCTGCATGTGCAGTTTGACAACCGTCGTAGCTAGGTGTCAGCACTCTTCTTTCCCTCGCTGCTGCGATCGGAGGTTTGTGCCACGTGGGCCTGTTGGTAGGACGGTGACAGGCAAGTGCATGTCACAAGGCTCTGGTCTGCCACCCACGCAGCTTGACCGTGCTTACGTGGCCCCAGCAAAGCGACACCTCCACGAGGAGACAATCCGACCGTCGGAATGCACAGAACCATCAGACTTCATCACGCTGCCTTGCCGCGCACTGCATGGGCTTTTCGCCACTGTGCCAGCTAGGCAGGTTCCTTGTAAGCCAAGATGTGGCCAACCTACTGTCAGCGACCAAGATGTCGCAGCGGAGCCCAGCGTGCACAAAGGCTTCAGCAATATATGCACGGCACCCTTAAACCCGCATTGAACTGGGACATATGTAGGAAGCGCTGATTCGTAAAGCAGCTCTAAGACTCGCAGAACGGAACCTCGCGCATGAGTCGATTTGTGGACTTCAGTAGTACAAGTGTCAGTGCCGCAGCAGTATGACTAAGGCTCCTTGGTGTTCCCTGCGTGTCTTCAATCAAGGACTACTGGCGCAAACCGCCTCAATCCTCAAATAAGCAGTCTCCGTAGAATCTCTACCCAACCAGAACTCCTCACATCCTACCTGGCACAGCTCTGATCATAAGGGTCCTGGACCACAAAGCCTTCTGAAGCTAGGCTCCTTAAACACTTCGCACCCTCAAGGCCCTCAAGGGCATACTTCATTTCTTCTCCTTCTTGGGTTTCATGCTGATAGCTTTGGCCAAAGCCACAGCCGACCCGGCGCCTAGGCAAGCTCAAGATTTGGTGCAAAGGTCGTGCCATTCTTTTCGGGCATGCGTTGCGAGGACCAAAAGGCTTCGGAAGCAACGGTGGGAAGTACAACATGGGAGGCGTGGGAGCTACCCGGAGACTGGCGAAACTGAGGAAAAGCGCAGCAGACCGTTACAGGCCACTTGCCTTCTGAGCCTTGCTGCTGCAGAGCTGCCCATGACAATGAAGAGCACCAGCCGGTCAAACTTCTCAGGTTCACGCGATGACTTCACAGCCTGCAGAGAAGTTCTACATGCAATTGGCTTGTGGCCTTGCTCTGATGCCTTTGACAGCTTGTGCAGGGCTGAAGCGTGTGATTCGCGTGGGCTGACGGCTTCTTCACATGCATGACATTGTGTGGTTTCCTTTGCCTCCTTCTCCTTCCGTTCTTGCAATTTCAAGCGTGGTGGGTTCTCAAGCGATGCAGAACCTGGATGGTGAAAACCACAATGAAGACAAGCATCAGCACCTGAGCGCGCACTCTTTCTGGTGCTGCATGTATGCCTGCAGCAGTCGCTGTGAGTGGAAGCTCCCTTCTTGCCTTCTCTGAGGGCCCCTGCAAGAGCCAGGTGGACTCCGATGGCCACAGGCACCTGCAACAAAAGCCCTCCCAAGGACTCGCAGCTGCACGTGCAAAGAGCAAGCCCAACCTTTTCTGGCCCTGTGCATTTCTCAGTGGCCACGATTGGTGCAAAGTTCTGGGCCGCGCAAAAGCTGCGGCCCTTGACATTTGATGCAGTCCCGCACTCTCTTTTGCGCGCAGCTGAATGACGATTCCATGTGCGTCACCTCTGCAGGAAAGAGGCTCGCAGGAAGCCCCAACATAAACTTGGCGGGTTCCGGCTGTGCCGGTGTGAAAGAACCTAATCCTACTATTACTATTGTTCTTCTTCTTAGTATTACTTACTATTATTCTTAGTGCTATTATTATTATTACCATTATTATTATCAGTATTATTCTTATTATTACTTACTTACTATTATGATTATTACGATTACGATTATTACCATTATGATTATTACTTACTATTATTGTTTTTACGATGTTTATTATTGCTTACTCTTATTATTATTACTATTAATATGTTTACCATTATTATTAGTACTACTACTTACTGTTATTATGATTATGATTCTGATTATTATTATCATTACTATTATTATTATTGCCATTCTTGTTATTCTTATTCTTGCCATTTCTCGATCTTCAGCAAGACCAAAGGCCACGACCGATGGCGGCAATCTGTCTGTTTGATGTGTGCTCCCTGATGTTGAAATCTGTGAAACTGCCAGTTGGCCTCAAAGGAAGTTCGCAAGCTTCTGTCGGTGACCTGCCAGCCACTAGAACCACAAGCAAGTGAAAGTGGGATAAAGCCGCGCTCTGGAAATGTGGCATCCGGAGTCTGCTGTAGCTTTGAGCGTGCGTTTGTCTGGCTAGACTTCTTGGGACCTGTGCCGCCTTGACCCAAAAACAATGGCCCAAGCCGATGGGGTGTACCTAACTTTTCGAAATAGAGCCGCGGTCTTTTAACGTCAGGCAAAAACCGCGATAGCACATTAACATACTCGTGACTCCAGCAATGGTCAACGTCTCTGACTGCTGGCTGGAAGCATCCACCGGCAGCAGTTGGCCGCTTCCGTTGCGCAAGGACCTGCGGATGAACCGCTCAGTGACTAGCCAAGGGCAAATCCGTGGTTCACGAAACCTGCATCAAACTGTAGCTGCCATACATGGCACAAACAAAGCAAAACAACCATTCACAGTCAGCCTTGGGGTTACGACTTAACTCGCTCAACACTCCAATGCTGGCCTCGTGGCAAGCCAGAGCAAACAAAGGCTGACCAACTCCGTTCATGAGCACGGGGGCACCGGAAAGCATGCCCCTGAAGCAGCTCAGCTGAAGGAATGCGCAGAAAGGGCCAAGCAGAGCTTCTAGATGTTTGGCTCAAGTCCCTCAAATGCCGTCAAAGTTGCACGTGATACGGTTGCCTCAGTGAAGAAGATAACCACCGGGTTCTGCGGGAGGTCTTCAGGAAAGGAAGCTACAATTACGCGGCAAATGCCCCCTGAACTTGCAAAACATCAGAGAACGTCTGCTTGCGGCTGAGCTGGCATGGCTGGTCCTTCGAAGTCGTCGCGCCGGGTGGGCGGCACGTCCACGATCACCTCGTAACCATCTCCTTTGCTGCTGGAACTCGCATGGCGCTGCACTAGCATTGTCCTTGGACAATCAGAACCACCTAGGTTCTGACGAGGCTCCGATCGGCCCGTCTGTTGGAAGATGTACCTGAGCCAACAAAACACATGTCAAAAAAGTTTGTGAGCACTTGAGAGAGGACCTAGTTGCTGATAACCCACAAATCGTCTTTTCTTTAGAAGCTCTGGGGTCTAGCCATGCCTATCGCGTGCCTACCACCAACACCACCACGGCGACTGCAACTTGCATTATTACTACCCACGATTATTACCCTACTCCTACTCCCACTCCAACTCGCACTCCCACTCCCACTCCCACTCCCACTCCCTACTACTACTACTACTACTACTACTACTACTACTACTACTACTACTACTACTACTACTACTACTACTACTACTACTACTACTACTAACTACTACTACTACTACTACTACTACTACTACTACTACTACTACTACTACTACTACTACTACTACTACGAACTACTACTACTACTACTACTACTACTGCTACTACCTACTACTACTACTACTACTACTACTACTACTACTACTACTACTACTACTACTACTACTACTACTACTACTACTACTACTACTACTACTACTACTACTACAACTACACACCACTCTACTAACCACTACTACCACTACTACCACTACTACCACTACTACCACTACTACCACTACTACCACTAGGTAGTACTACCACTACTACCACTACTACCACTACCTACTACCTACTAACTACTGACTACTAACTACTGACTACTGACTACTACCTATTAACTACTACCTACTACCTACTACTCACTACTTACTACTCACTACTCACTGCTCACGACCAACTACCAACTACCAACTAACTACTAACGACTAACGGCTAACGACTAACTACAAACTAGAAACTACTAAGTACTAAGTACTAAGTACTAGGTAAGAGCTACGAAGTACGAACTATGAACTACAAGGTCCACGGCGCGTACACGGCCGTGGCTTCTCAGAGACATGCTCAGATCGAGGGGAAGTGCACGGCGTATTGTTTTTTTACAATGTCTTCGTCATTCGGGTTGAAAAAAGGGCGCAAAAAAAGAGTTAAAAATCCCGCGAAAACTATTTGGGAATTCGCACAAGATTCATACTTATGTGGTTGATGACTCATGTGTGAGTGTGAAAAGATCAAGAACCTTAAAGTTTTCTTTCAGCAGGTCGCTAAACGCAGAATCGCAAAACGCTGTAAATAACAGTGTTTTGGGCATGGTCGCCAAAAAGCATGGACGCTTGCGACGATGTGTCTTGTTCGACATCCTTGCGCAGTATGTTGTACAGCGTGATGAAAACGCTGTAAATGCCAGTTTTGGGCATGGTCACCAAAGGCATGGGCCTTGTTCCACATCCTTGCCCAGTATGTTGTACGTACAAAGAGATGAAAATGCTGTAAATGCGAGGGTTTTGGGCATAGGCACAATATGAATGACGTTCTGATCCCCCCCCTCCCCCCCCCTCCCCCCCCCTCCCCCCTCCTCCCCCCTCCTTGCCCCCCCCCCCCTTGCCCCCCCCCCCCCCCCTCCCCCCCCCTCCCCCCCCTCCCCCCCCTCCCCCCCCTCCCCCCCCTCCCCCCCCCTCCCCCCCCCCCCCCCCTCCCCCCCCTCCCCCCCCCTCCCCCCCCCCTCCCTCCCCCCCCCCCCCCTCAAACCACAGATTCACCCGACTTTAACCCACGGTCGAGTACGCGCCGTGGTCCAACTACAAACTGCGAACTGCGAACTCCTTACTACTTCTACTTCTTTCTACTTCTACTTCCACTTCTACTACTGGGATGAGGAAACGCTGCTTATTTATGGTTACATCATGCGGCACCTCTTACTACCCTCCACGTCTCAGAAAATTGGAACTAACCGACAATCTCGTTCTGCACAGGTGCCTCATTCGGCGGTGGCAGCTTGGGTTCTGGACCCTCTGGCGGCTCCTATTGCAATCAAGTCAAGTCTTCGAGCGTCGAGGCTGCTGAGATTTGTTGAGGTGTTTTGAGCTGCATTCAAACCATATAATACACAACACCGATAGCACAACGCAACATGCGGAGCAACTCAGCCTTTGCATGTTGAAAGACAACATTGAACTTGGACAACGTGACAACACGGACTCAGTGGTGCATTGGCACGCTGAGCGCGTCAAGCTTGAAAACCCGCCAGGCTCTATGTTAAAATACGGAAGCTGCATACAGTATGTGAAAATAACTGTGCGGGGTCATGCCATCAATCGTAAGCCGTAAGCCAATTCCGTTTTGGAAACCTTGCCCATCTACTGATCTTATTCTGCTGGACATCATCCGGCGTGCGCCGACCAGAGCTTTCCCAGACCCCATTACACAGACGAGCCTGGCACGTGCACAGCATTCCCGGAACAACTGTGCCGGCAGGACTTTTAGGGGCTCGCCGCTCTCGAGCTGTGCCATGACGTCCTTGGCCACTCGGCCACTCGGATCCACTTCAAAAAACTCAAAAGCACTCCATGAGTCTTGAGTTCCAAGAGGTGCTGTGCAGCTCCAGAACACATGCCAAGGAACCATGATGCCCGGAAAACCTGAACTTGCGAAGGGCTTGGGTTCTGGGACAAAGATAGATCTGTTGCGGGCGGGCATGCTGGCGGTGTGCACCCATGTGCACTGCGGGCCGCTCGAGGGTGGGCTCTGTGTGTGTCTGTGTGTGTTGCGTGGCGTAGTCTGGCAGCAGAGCAATCTCAGGGCAGCAACGTTGTGTGGAGCAGTCCGGGAGCAGTGTTGTGTGGAGCAGTTTGGCAGCAACGTCGTGTGGAACAGTCTCTTGGGGCAGCGTGGACACAAACCCACCAACCCCGCGGCATGTTCATACTTCGTCCACTACATATTCGCTTCCTCATGCTCTACCACCAGTGAGTGATCATCCATGAGTGTGCAGACAGTCAACTTTTCAATAAAAGCGTGATCTGTCTCTCTTTCCGTCTCCGTCCCTCTCCGTCCCTCTCCATCCCTCCACCCCTTCTTCTTCTCCACGCTTGAGAGGGCCTCCCGAAGGTGACCCCCGGCCGCCCCTCTCCGTCTCTCTCTTTCTGTCTTTGTGTCTCTCTGTCGTCGTCGTCTTCTTCTGCTTCTTCTTCTTCTGCTTCTGCGTCTGCTTCTGTTTCTGCTTCTTCTTCTCATTCTTCTTCTTCTTCCTGTTCTTCTTCTTCTTCTTCTTATTCTTCTTCTTCTTCTTCTTCTTCTTCTTCTTCTTCTTCTTCTT